TGCCAAAAAAAACATTAAAATTGGTTTAACGATTTCAAAAAAAAAAAAAAAGAAAAAAACATCGAATTAATAGCGATATATAATAATATCGTAATATAATCTCGCGATGGGTAATAGTAGCAGAATTTATTTTCTTATTCTGCTTATGATACCATGTTGTATTTTAACATTTGTTTGTCCTATACTTGGTAAATAAAAGAGATTCAATTTATTTTATTTTATTTTTTATATCAGTTTAACAATTTATATTTATTCATATAGAATTTGAAAAAATAACCCTTTTTATGCAGACAAATGGAAAACTTAAACTAAATAAAATAGTTGAATATACGTAAGAAACGATTATATTGTATTATCCGATAGAATATTTCAAAAAGTAAACTTTTAAAAAATTTTGTTTTATTATCTCAGGTATCTGATAATCACGATTATAGTTGCCGGTATGCATGCTTCTAAATTTAATAAATATTATTATTAGTATGTACTGTACTATCATTATCAAATTACAAATTTGCTTTGAAATTGAAAATATCTTTTTCAGCAATAAATGTTTTTGCTTGTCTTTGTTGTTCCTATTTCAAATATGGTGAATTAAACTTTAAAAACGCGTAAGTTATTTTCAAAAAAATATATATATATATAATTATTCAATAAGTTATTACTTACTTTCAAGTATAATCTTTAGATTTGCCACAATTACTTGGTTGATTCTACCTGGTAAGTTCTCACTTTTCGGTTTCTCATTATATCAATTTTAACTTGAACCCTTTTTTTTTTTTTAATCCTCTTTAAAAGTCGTGTATACCTATCTCACTGCAAATGAAATGGGTAACATCCCATTCAGTTGTCCACCTGATTACCCATATAATTCAACGATAATCCAAGATGCTTGTCAAATTCGTTCAGCAAATCTAGTTTGCATGTGGTTGTACTTTATTAGTTTAGTACTTCTTATATTACTTGCTTGCTCTATTAGATCTAGGAAGACAAATCACAAACACGGTGGCTCATCTGCTGGTAGTGTTTTGGGAAAAGTTGAAATGGAAGAAATTAAGAAAGATAATAACTAAGCCATATTCTTAAAAAGTAATACTAGCTTAATACTAGCTTAATCTTAGCTTAATCTCAAAGATTTTTTTTTAAAGAACACTCCTATCTTTAATATTTTAGTTATTTTCTACTAACTACCCCTACTACTATTGTCTAAACTTGAGACAAATAGGTTCTTTTCTTTTGATTTGTCAATTATTTATGGTTGTATTTATAATTTTTATCTATTTATATAAATTAAAAATCATTTTTATTTTTATATAAATGAATTCATTAAATATCTTTTTTTGCTACTCTGTTCTAAATAATTACTTTCTTAGTCACTATAAACTCGTAGAAAGGTTCTATTAATTTTACATGTAAAAATTTTTGTATTTAAAAATTAGTAAATATTCAGGTATTTGAAATTTTTATTTATATTTTTTTAAAAAAAAATTATTTATTAATTACAACAAATATAGTTATAATTTAAAGAAATAGCTTAGAAATTAAAACTAATGCTAATCTAATAAAAAGTATTAATAATATTCTAGATGTTAATTATTTTAGATTATCTAAAATTATTTATTTTTAGACAGCACCCCAATTATACATTAGAATTATCGAATTGACTTATTCACATAATCCCGAAGTGATAAACGCGACTACGTCAGTAAAGGAGACGACCGAAGCCTCAGAAAATCCACAAGCCAAATCTAAATGTCTCTTTCGATAATTTTGTCCAGATAATGTTGATTTAGATCGCATTTTTCAGTTATCCTCATATCAATGATGGTAAATGACCTTCAAATGACCTCAAATGACACTAATTTTATTATGAATTTTAGTCCGAAATGACCTAGGCAAATGACCTCTAATTTTACCATCCCTGCTACATATAAGGGATAGCTTATTACTGTACAGTTTCTGACCACAACATTATGCTTAGAGATAATAAATAATAAGATTTCTGTTTCGATAAACTTTTACTTTTTAATAAAAATTAATTAATTCATTTCATCAATTTCATCTCTACAATAAATACTACATTCATCAAAAATTCTGCCAAACCTTCTATTGTGAATACCACCAACAACAATTATGTTTCCGTCATCAATTCTATCATATTTCCAATACCAACATTTGGCTCTCACATTTCACGTACATTATCATTTAATGATACAATACAAATAATTATCAAGAAAAACATCAAATATTGAAAACCAAGTTTCTATCACGATTCACATATGAACGAATAATATATATAAAATCAAATATTTGTATATTATATGTGTTAGATAATGCGCTTCGCTTCCATTGTTTGACAATATTTTAAGACCGACAATTATTTATTACTGGCAGATATAAGAAATTGTATTCTCTGAAATTTACTCATATTGGGTAATTAAACAAGTCATCTATACAATGTTGTTTCAAGATAGAAGCGTAAACATTATGATGTGAAAAATCTGAATTAGGCGAGTTGGTCGTTTAGTCATTTAGGAATTCTTGTAATGTCTGCCCAGGAACCTTAAAAAATTTCAAAAAAATTAGAAAACAATAAATCGCAATTTTTAGTAAATCTTGCTCTATCGCTATAAAACCATTTTACGACTTTTTTATACGTAGTAGGTTACACGATAAATTGGATTGGCTAGTGTTAGGTAACTTGCGGTAATTTACCGGTAATTTACTGATGGTAACTTACCATTTATAACCCTGGTTATAACTTTATATTTTTGGATCTTACTGTACGAGCTCAATCTAGTATCGCCACCAAAATCAGGTATGAACGTTAAGTACGTAATCGCTGCTTAAAATTTGAGATTACCACAAGACCTTCAATTTTTGAAAGAAAAATAATTAAAATTTGTCGATTTTTTTTTTAATATAAAACAAGGGTTCTCTACCATCACTCGTGGTAGAACCAGAGTAAGAAAGAATAGAATTTGACTACATCATAAAATCGTCCCCTAAAATTCCCTCACTTCTTTATTAAATGATATTAATACGCGAAATGTCTATATTTATCCCGACATCCCTTTAAATCAGTACACGGTTAACCCCAAGTTGGAAATAACAAGGAGCCATGACTTGTGAGCCATGTTAGCTAGGACCCGGTCACGTTTCCCGGTCTTACAATATATACTTCGATTTGTTACGATAGAGTCCTTCTCTATTCTCCAGACAATTAATATGAAATAATCCTACTGTACTCTCTATTATCGCTAATAAATTTTGTCTAATATCTATAAATTCGTGTAATGATTCTGTAAATTTGTTTCCAACCTAATATTTCTGAGTTTGTATTTCCGTGTGCAGTGTCATAATTTTTCAACATTTTTTCAGATAAGGCCATACAAAGTTAATTAATTGTTTTTCATAACATATAAATTTAAAAATGAACCTCCCGGCCGGTTTTTAATTTTTAATTATATATTTTTTATTATCTCTGTATTAAAACTATAGATGCAGACTTATGCAAGTGACGTAGCTATCTTAATGTCAATTTGACGTAACTCAGAAGACGTGATGATACGTCAAAAAGCTATAACTAACATTTGTTGTAACATTGATGTATGTCGCTGACGTGTGCCGTAGTATTTGATGTGTGCCGTAACATTCGACTTGTGCCGTAACATTTGACTTATTCCATGTATATAGATGCAGACTTATA